CTTCTCGGTCTCTACACAATGGAATACTACGCTGCAGTAAAAAAGAAGTTCTTACCATTTGCAACAGCATGGATGGAACCGGAGAGCATTATGCTAAGCAATTTAAGCCAGTCAGAGAAAGATAAATATCACATGATCTCACTCATTTGTGGAATATAATGAACAACATAAACAAAAACAGATCCAGAGACAGAGAAGCATCAATAGCCTTTTGAAATTAGCTTCACTCCCTCCACAGAATTCCCTGGAGAGCCACCTTGGTGGCTGTGTGTATCAGTAGCTATTTCTTTTCATGGTATGGATGTGCCACAACTTGTCTAACCATCCACATGTGGAAGGACCTCTGGGCTGTTTCCAGTTTGGGGCTTTTAGGAATAAAGCTGCTAAAAACATTTATGTGCAGGTTTTGGTGTAAACATACATTTTCATTTCTTTCATGTACGTGCCCAAGAGTGCAATGCTAGGCCGCACCGGAAGTGTGTGTTTAATTTTGTAGGAAACTGCCAAGCTGTTTCCCAGGGTGGCTGAACCATTCACATCCCCGCCCCCCCAACCACCACGCAAGGGATGAGGGAGTAGTTACTCTGCATCATCGCCAGCTTTGGGTGTTGCCACCAGTTTTTATTGTAGCCATTCTGATGGCTGTGCACTTCCCTGAGGCTAAGGATGTTGAACGTCTCCTTGGGTGCTAATCTGCCATCTGCATATCCTCTGGTGAAATGTCTCTTCGTGTTTTTTATCTAGTGTCTAAGGCAGCGGTTCTCAACCTGTGGGTCGCGACCCCTTCACAGGTGTCGCCTAAATACATCCTGCATATCAGATATTTCCATGACGATTCATAACAGTAGCAAAATTACAGTTACGAAGTAGCAACGAAAATCATTTTATGGTTGGGTCACAACATGAGGAACTATATCAAAGGGTCACGGCATTAGGAAGGTTGAGAACCACTGGTAAGGGGATCATTTGTTGTTGTTGTTTTAAACTATTTTTCGAGAGTTCTTTATGTATCGGGATCTTTCCCAGAGCCAATGTTTCGGTTTGAGAGAAGGTTCTGAGGGGCGGTGCTTTGGTCATGTGACCACCAATACCTGTGAAGGAGGGAGCAGGGCACTAGCACTGACCTGCCCACCAGGGTCACGTGGACCCATGGAGGGATCTCCAGGTGACTCAGAGGAAGGAATGGGAAACGAGGCGGGACAGACAGAACTTCTGTCACCACAGTTCCCAGTGGGGACTCAACCAAGTCTATCTAGTTCTTGATTTCTATGGGCATGCTAAAATTACTAAAATCTCTTTTGTATCCACATTTTTATGACTCATTTTAACAGTTCAGAATCACGTTTTGTAGAATCTGGAGTGGACTGTGGAGAACATTTAGCTCATTATATGGAAAAGGAAAAGAAGGCTTAAATGAAAATATCTTGCCCAATTTAATATACACTGAGTGGCCAGATTATGATGACCACCCCATCAGTACTTCATTGACACTTCAAAAAATACTGAATATTGAAAACTTCCTAAGCAAATACTCTCAAGGTTTTATTATCATTATTATTTGCATAACTAATTCACTTCATTGTACTGATGGGGTGGTCATAATAACCTGGCCGGTCATAATAATTTGGCCACTCAGTGTATGTACTTGCTTTGTGTGTTTTCCTCCATTTTCATTTATTATAAGAATAATATTATGAGATTAACAATTTTTAATGAAAAATTATGCAAAATGCCAGATAAGTAAGTTCTAGAGATCTGCTGTACAACATAGTACCTACAGTTAAATGTTAAGAGGCTAGATCTCATGTCAAGTGTTCTTACAAAAAACAAACAAAAACCCAAACTAGAAAACACCACAAAAGACAACAAGGAAATTTTTGGAGGTGATGGACATGTTTAGTACTTTGATTGAGGTGTATGCATTGTCCAAACTTATCAAGATGTGTACATTAGCCCGGCTGCTGTGGTTCAGTGGTTGAGCATCAACCCATGAACCAGGAGGTCACAGTCTGATTCCGTCAGGGCATGTGCCTGGGTTGTGGGCTCAGTCCCCAGTAGGGGGGCGTGTAGGAGGCAGCCGATCCATGATTCTCTCTCATCATTGATGTTTCTATCTTTTTCTCCCTCTCCCTTCCTCTCTGAAATCAATAGAAATATATTAAAATTTAAAAAAATGTATGTTAAATGTATGTAATTTCTATATACTAATTATACACTAATAAAGCCAAAAAAGAAAATTATTCAATAACCTCAATCCTCAATACAATAATATTTTCTTGTGTATTCCAGTCTTTATCAAGATACATATATATTTAGACATCGTTGTAAATGGGGTACATTGACTTGCAAAAAATGTTAAAAGGCCACACGCACATAATCGTTTAACAACTACTAGCAACTTTTTATCCTGCAAAGTCCGCAGTAGCTGGCAATACCTGCCCACCTGGCCAGATGGCGGAAGCAGCCGTTTTCCTCCTGCTTCTCTTAAGGTGGATCAGTACCTCTTCCTGGCCCAGCTTTGGCCTTGAGCAGAATTGTGGAAGGGGTGCAGACCTCTGGGGCCCCCCGTTTCTCCCTGTCAGAGCACATCCTTCCTCCAGTGCTGCCGCCTCTCCCTGGGGCCTGTTCTTCGCTCAGAGTGTTGGCGTCTGAGTCCCGCTCAAGGACTCAGTGTCTCAGCAGAAAATCATTGCAAGTGCAGCCTCTCAGGGCATCCTCATTGGAGCAGGGGACCTTCTGAGACAGAAAGGTGTTCCTGATCTCAAGAAAGGAAACCGGCTGTTAGAGGGACCCCTCCTCGAAGAGACCCTGCCATGTGCTGGGGCTGAAAAGACAGTGAGACCCAGTCCCCACCTCCAGAGAGTTCAAGTTCCCGGCTCCACGGCAGGTGCCTGTAGCAGCCTCCAATTATGCGCAGGCTGCCCCACCTCCGCTTAGAACAACAAGGGGTCTGGACTCTCCGTCCACGGGCCCTGTCAGACAGGCCATCTGTGCCACTCCAGGTCCTGGCAGGAAGCAGATGGCACCCTCAGGTTGGGTAAACTGAGAGGAGCAGAAGGTAGGAGTGGTTACTGGAACTTCCAGAGAGAATTCTGGGAAGAGGGCCTGTGGACAGGAGCGACGGCTTTTGGTTCAGGGATGCAACAAACCGGCCCTGAGACGGAGCAGAGAGGCGTTGCAGGGAAATAACTACCCTGATCGCTCCTCTCAGCCTCCCAGCTCCTGGCGGTGGCCAAAGGCAACTGGAAGGCGGAGGGCACAAGAACCAGCGGGCAGAGCCATGAGGCTGGCTGGCGGGGCCCAGAGCGGATGGGGAAGAGAGGAGTGGATCTGGAGGGGCAAAAGGAAGCCATCGGACATACCATCTTGTTTGGAAATATTCTGTTGCAGTTTTGCCAAGGGGGGGGGGTGCGGGTGAGGGGTGTTGAGGTGCTCTCTCTCCCTTGTAGTTCTAGCAGGAGGTGGGGCAGCCTCAATGGGACTCTTCTGCCTGGGGAGCCTGCATTTTCTCTCTGTTCATCCTCCATGGGCCATAAAAGGCCATGTTGCCCAGGAAGGAGGGTACCTGCACCCATCCTGCCAGCTGTGTCTTGTCCTCTCTGCAAGCGGGCTGCCCATGCGCAGGATCGCACCCCTTCCCGATCCCTCGGGCTCCTCATGGCTTCCGGCAGCCAGGAGGCTCTTCCCCTGTGTCTGCCTCCCCCGGTGCCACTTGTGCTTGCTCCACTCCCAGCCTCACCCACTCCCTCCAGCTCGGCTCTTTATTCCTAGCCTCAACCTGAAACCCGCTCTTCCTCTCGCTAAAACTTGACAAGTTGATAATTTAATAAACCAGCATGTTCACTTATAAGGAGAAATCTAAGAAGATTGTATCCTTGGTTCATTTATAAGAACCTTCTCTCCAAGTAAGTCAGACACGAAAGATGTGAAGGAGAGATTTTATCCACTTTTCTTTCTATATATCCATTTTTATTCTTTATGTCCATTGTTACTATTGGAAGGTTTTTTTCATTGTTTAAAGTATTATATATGTCACCTTTTTCCCCCCATGAAGGTTTTTTAAAACCAAGGTAATGCATTACTTTAAAAAATTTATAACAATATTTGCTCTGGCCGGAAACCTCAGTTGGTTAGAGCATCGTCCTGATACCCTAAGGTTGTGGGTTTGATCCCTGGTCAAGGCACATACAAGGAGCAACCAATGAATGCATAAATAAGTGGAATAACAAATAGATATTTCTCTCTCTCTCTCCCTCCCTCTTCCTCCCTCCCTTCCTCCTGTCTCTAAAATAAATAAAATTTAAAAACTGTTAAAAATAAAAATTTATAACACTTCAAAAAAAGCATTGAGGCTAATCACAATGAGTGACTTTGAATGAGAGGGATAATGGAAGCGCAGTGCACATCCTAGACACGTAACGCAAAAATGACAATGAGAGCTAGGGCCCGGCCGCTGAAGAGGGCCACAGACTTCCGCTCCAGGTAGCCCTTGCTTCAAGGGGAGCTGGGCCACTACAGCTCCTAGCGGTGTCAGGAGTGTGTATGGAGACCTGAGGTAACTAGTATGGGTGTTTGATTCATTTTCATGATAGTCTGGCACCTGCACGGGCAGGTGCTCTGGGACACCTCCAGTCAGCACCCCCTAATTCAGTGATGGCGAACCTTTTGAGCTCGGCGTGTCAGCATTTTGAAAAACCCTAACTTAACTCTGGTGCCGTGTCACATATAGAAATGTTTTGATATTTGCAACCATAGTAAAACAAAGACTTATATTTTTGATATTGATTTTATATATTTAAATGCCATTTAACAAAGAAAAATCAACCAAAAAAATGAGTTCGCGTGTCACCTCTGACACGCGTGTCATAGGTTCGCCATCACTGGCCTAATTGGCTCTCGGTGTGTCCTCACCACTTGCTAGGCGATCCCACTGCGGCACTGACGCGTCCGCATTGCATGTAATGTGATGTGGTGGACCGGCAGGCAGGGGCGTTGTTATTTATACTCCTGAGTCACTTAACTATTTGTTAAGAACAAGACTATTCCTCACCCAAACTGTAAGCACGTCATTTGTTTCTGCTGCTCTTCCGTTATCCTTTATGACCCTGTCTACCGTTCTGAGGACAGAGGGGAACACTGGTGACCAGCCAGAGGCCTATACTGAAGGCTTCCGGAGAGACTCGCTTCTTCCCTCCTCTCCGTCTTCTTAGCCAACTGATTTGCTAAATTCTGGTTACCGACCTCCCGAGGGGAACAAAGCTAAGAGGTTAGCAGTAAGTGTTGGTTAAGGTTGAACCTGACTAGCTTCGTGAGGTGAGGGAGATATTAAGATGTGTGATTTAACTGTTAACCAGGGATACCTGTAGATTTGTGTGAACAACAATAGCTCAACAGCTCTGTGATAATTGCTAATAAAACTCTGGAAAAAAAAAAAGACCACAAGTATCTTGCCCTAATGGGTATTAAACTTGCTATAAAGCTAGTGTAATCAAAAGAATAGGGCATTGGCACATGAACAGACAAGTAGATCAGGGGAATACAATACGGAAGAAACTGATTTTATAAGAACTTAATACAGTGTATAATAAAGGTGGCGTTTCAATTCAGTGATGGTTTTTTAAAATGGCACTAGAATAATTGGCTATTACATGGAAAATAAAGTCAGACCCCCCCCCCTTTTTAATTATAGATGGATTGGATGCAAAGGTAAAGCAAACATTCAGGAGGAAGTAAATTTAGGAGAGTATTAAATAATACCTAGGTAGGGAGACCTTCTTAAATAATACAAGAAACTCAGAAGGCATAAAGGAAATGAAACAGATTTGATAATGTAGACAATTAAGATTTTCCAGTGGTAGAAGATACTGGAAAAAGTCAAGGGGTAACTAATGGGCTGTGGAAAATGGTTGCAACAAATTTCAGACAAAGGATTAATATCTATAAATTCAGTTGAACTACGTGAAATGGATGATAATCAACTGTTTGTAACCAAAACGAATGGCAATTTTAGTATTTCAACTCAATACCTAGGGCTTGCTTTTATTTATATACATTTTTTGGGGGGGGGTGGCTTCCATATATTGACAAGAAAAAGACAAACAACCTACTAGAAAAAAAGATGACTATAAATTACAAATAGGAAATTAGTAGAAAATAAAATATACATAGCCTATATATAAATACATGATTATAAATACACTAGAGGCCCAGTGCCTGAAATTCTTGCACGGGGGTGGAGGGGGAGGGTCACTCAGCCCGGCCTGCACCCTCTCGCAACTCGGGATCGCTGGCTCCTAACCACTCGCCTGCCTGCCTCATTGCCCCTAACCCCTCTACTTGCCTGCCTGATCACCCCTAACCACTTGCCTGCCTACCTGATCGCCCCTAACTGCTTGCCTGCCTGCCTCATCGCCCCTAACCATTCTGCCTCGGCCCCCACTGCAGTGGCTTAATCCAGAAGGACATCCGGAAGGTCGGCTGTCCAGTCTAATTAGCATATTATGCTTTTATTATTATAGATAAGTAAATCTATACATATTCATGTATAAAAATGAAAGTTAAAGTAATAGGAAGAACATGGCTACTATCAAAGAAACAAAATAACAACTGTCAGTGAGTATGTGGAGAAATTAGAACCCTTATGTACTACTGGTATAAATGTAAAATATTACAGCTGCTACAGAAAATAGTATGGAGGTTCCTCAAAATACTAAAAATAGAATTACATATGACCCAGTAATTCCACTTCTGGGTATATATCCAAAAGAATTTAAAAGCAGGTCTTAAAGAAATATTTGTATGCCCATGTTCATAGCAACATTACTCATAATAGCTAAAAGATGGAAGCAACCCAAGTGTCCACTGACTGATGAGCAGGTAAACAAAATGCGGTATATCCATACTAACACAGGTTCCTGAACCCAATTCTAATTTTAGGAAGGGTTCCCTCCAATAAATAATTCGCAGACACTAGCAGTGTGTCTGAGAATTTAACTCAATTCTGAAACTACCGGGAGATAGCATCAGATTCCACAGGTTAAGGATTCAGTCATACAAGACCTCCCCCCCGCCACACACACACACACTTCAGACACAAGCCCAAGTTACCTGTGTTTCTAATCGACTGGCATAGATTGGAGGTTCCAATGACCCCACCCCCTTCCTTGGGTTCAATTAATTTGCTAGACCAGCTCACAGAACTCAAGAAAAAATTCATTTACTCACTATAGTCACTAGATTACCGATTTATTAAAAAGGATATTAAAGGTTGACAAACCAATAGCCAGATGAAGAGATACACAGGGTGAGGTCCTGAACAAAGGAGATGTGAAGAGATTTTTTAGATGTGACTACCTTTTAAATCAGTAGCCTTTGAGTAAAGCAGTTACCCTGCAAAATATAGGTGGGCCTCATTCAATCAGTTGAAGGCCTTAAGAGAAAAGACTGAGGTCCCTTGGAGAAGAAATTCTCAAAATTGCAACATAGAAATCCTGCCTGAATTTTCAGCTTGCCTGGCTTACCCTGTGGAATTTGGACTCAAGACGGTAACATATAGATGGTACTAGGTTTATCGGGATGATCACTTTGTAAGTTATATAAATGTGTAATCCCTGGGTTGTGCACCTGAAACTATACTGTATACCTCAACTCTAATTGAAAAATAAATATATTAAAATACTGGAACATAAACTCTTACCTGAAATCTAGCCAACCCCCATAATCATCGGAGCCAATTCCTTAAAATAAACTACCTGG